TTTCTGAGTTGGAAAAGTTAAAACTTTGCTAGAAAAAATTTCAGAAATATTTGAGAAAAAAATAGGAAATTTCTGTTTCAACTGTCAAAAATATTTGACTTTTGTAGAGAAAGAAAACTGTAAATTTCTGAGTTGGAAAAGTTAAAACTTTGCTAGAAAAAACTAAGAAGTTTGAAATTAATCTAAAATTTTTGTGATATTTTCTTTGGGGGGTTTTAATTTCTGATTTTCAAAATTGGAAAATCTTCCACTTTGGTAGATAAAAAAAATAGATAAAATTTCCACAAAAAAATTCTAAAATTTCAAGAGTAATCTCAAACATTTGAGAAAAAAACTGGGAAATGTCCGAGCATGAAAAGTTTAAAATTTGCTGAAAAACCTCTGAAGATTTTTTGGTTTCAAACATTGAAAATTGATTGAAAAAAAGTTCATTTCTACCAAAAAAAAAAACTCAAAACATTCTGAGATTCTCAGAAAATTTTGTAAAGAAAACTTTTTTGAAAGTGGAAAAGTTTCAAGTCAGTTTTTCAACTTTTGAATCCTGAAGTTTTTTCTAGCAAATTTTTGACTCAGAAATGTTTTTTTTACTAGAAACTTAGAATTTATGGCAGAAATTTGCTCTAAGCACAAACTTTTCATAACTGAGATTCTTCCTCATTTCACCTGGATTTATCAAATGGAAAAATCTAAATCTTTATTTTTGAGAAGTTTTAAGTAGAGAACAGACATGCAGAGGCCTGTCATGATGATAAATTGTAACAGAAATGATGCAATTATGCAATTTCACCTTTTCAAGGATTAATAATTCTTGAAAAGGTTTATTAATCCTTTTATCTTGAAATTTTAAAGTACATTTTACAAGGGACTTGCTTTAAATATCCAAAATAAATTCTAAAAACTGAATGAAAACGACTGTAGTTTGTTTGCTTTTCCACATTTCCTCCTTCCACTCAACTTTCTATTAAAGATGCAATGTTCTGTTTTAAAAACTGTTTTTTATTCACATTATTTTCCCCATTCATCATTCTGCTCTCATAAACATTTCCACAGGAGGTTGTTTTTCCTCCCAGAAGCTGAGCGGACATCATGTGGAGAGAAACCGCGTCAGCCGCCGACTCGCATTCATCAACAACAAAACTTAGATTTAAAATAAAGAACAAGAGAAGAAAATCCAGAAATCAAAAGTATGAAAACAAAACAGTCCTCCTCCCTCTGCAGCCATGAAATGCTGTTACCTCGACGCGTCTGAGTGCAATCATGTGTAAAGTAGCAGGTAATTGTCCAGAAAATTTACACTGAGCAAATGTGCATGTTGATGAGTGCTGCTCTGTAATCTGTCTGCCTGTCAGCCCGTCCTCTGGGCTCCAGTCCTCCGCCGGCGCCGCGTCCAATTCCACGTATTAATAACACAATACAAGCCACCATTCCAGGTGAGTCATTATGCTCTGTGATGTCAACAAACAGAAAGCGTTCGGTGCTATTCCACCTCTGCTTTGTGTTTTCATGTGTCTGAGATTAGTTATTGACTCTAAAACAGAATCTGGATTTGCTGGCATCATTTCAGATTATTTTTATCTGACCACGACTTCAGCTGATTGGCTGGAATGAAGTTTGGTTTCCATGTGATTTCTCTCTTCTGCTCTCCATCAAGTCCAGAAACTGCTACCAGTTTGACCTTTGGCCTCGGGACAAATCATCGTTCTCAACATCAACTTTGTAACTGACGGCCATCTTGGTAGGCAGTTGCTGTGGAGTTGCTATGACAACAATAGAACCAGCTCTCATCTCGTTCCTATCCAACTTATAAACAATATAAATACATGTCTGAGTCCTCTACCCTGCTCTGTGCAGCACTAAGATAAATATCAGTGACATGCTGTAGTACTTACTGCCAGGCTAGCAGAATTAGCCTCGCTAACGTAACGGACATGTAGCCTACGTGTTTGTTACATGTACGTCACCAGAACCTTATTATTCACCTGCAGAGTTCCTGCTTTCTTTAGAAGTCCATCACCATGACTCCATGGTTAACACTCTGTGTTGAGTCTTTAATCGGAGGCAGCTTGTCCACATCGTCTAATATGTCTATTCAAGTCGGCCATTTTGTTCACGTATCTGTCTCTTACATATTTTCTGTCTGTTGCTCTGGAAGCCATGATGCTTTGCGCTGCTCTTGCCTACCAAGATGGCGCGGATCACTTCCGGTTGGAAACGCGCCTCCTGCCGTTTCCCTCTGTTCTCATCGGACGTCCATGTCTTAAGGAGAAACTTTTTGAAAACAGACTTCCACCTCCGGGGAAACATGGCGGACAACCAAACGGATGTAACGATTAAAAGCCGTTATGATGCGGCTTCCTCCTCTCCTCTCTGCGTCTCGTCTGATTTGTGTTCGTCTGTCGCTTAAATGGCCTGCAGAGACGGAGCTGATGTCCTCCATCCATCATGTTTGCAGAGATGTAACCTGAAGAAACGGCCCACGCTGCCGAACCGTGTGTGTGTGTGTGTGTGTGTGTGTGTGTGTGTGTGTGTGTGTGTGTGTGTTTATAATGGAGGTTAAGCAAAAAGGCAACGTGACTGCAGGCGCCTGAAGGGAAGTGTGTGTGTTCTGGCTGAATAACTTTCTGTTCTCTTTGTGATGAAGACCCGAGTGTTAATGTATTCCTTTCTTCCTCCGTCGGCTTCATATAGGCCAGGTGTCAACATGACAACCTCACACTGTTCTCACACACACACACACACACACACTCTCTCTCTCTCACTCTGCAGGACTGAACAGGCAGAACCGTGTCTGACTGATGCACTGCAAAAACACGAAATCTGTGAATATTTCATTATACTTAGAATAAGACAAACCGACTCACCAGTAAGTTTTTAGCAAGAATGTGAGTTTGTTTTATGTCAGTAATTGACAGGAAGTGGATGGAGGATGAAAAACAAACTTTCACGTTTGAAGAGTTTAATTGTTTTTCTTATTTAATGGAAACACAGCAGCTGCAAACTTTAGTTTGTTTGACTGTAGTGGAGTATCGACGGTTTTACGCTCATTTGTAACGGAAAAGCAGCTCATGGATTATTTCTCTGGATCAATTGGACTCAACTGTAGATACTTTAGTGTTGTTTTTATTACCCATAAAGGTAACCACTGCATAGTCTCCAGTATAATGGTGCATCGATGGGATTTTATGCATCATCATCCCCATAAAACGGCGACAGCCTGACCTTGTGATTTACAGTTTCTTTAATTTCCTGTTATCATAAAAAATGGATTGAAAAGATTAGCTTTGCTCCCAAGATTGCAGTAAAGTTTTTTCTGTCCATTAAAACAGGAAAGATTCAGATAAGGAGGCAAACGGACAATAAGGATGTGAGAGCTGCAGCATCTGAGTCAGCAAATTTCCACTCCAGTTTATCCGTCAGTGAGGAGATTTTCTGCAAAACCTCAAAGGAATCAGCAGAAAAACCAGATTCCTGACGCTCCGTTAGAGCAGATGGTCCGGCCTCGGGGAAGAGGAGTTAACCATCAGACATGTTTGAGTCGAGGCTTCAACATGAGGCGACCGGTGCAGCTGCATGTGAGGAGGATTTGACGGGTTTCTAACGGATCAGCAGCTGGACTTTATTTATCTACCCAGAAAAACGGCTTTGACTAAACATGCCTTTGAAACAGTGAGGATGATGTAAATGGAGCATGATGTCACTGCTTCATGTGACATCATAGAAAAATATGAAGGAAAAACAGTTTCTAAATCATTCATCTGTTTGAACATTTAGTTTCACATGATGTGAATTCACCTTAGAATGAAAGAAAATGACGTGAAACATATTCTGCACCAAAATACAGTTTAAAGATGCTCAGAGGAGAAGAAGTCATTATTTAAAGAGCAAAATAAAATGTCAGCTTGACAAAGATCTTTAACTAACAAAGATCAGCAGTCAGGTGAAACTAAAATAACCTTTCAGCAGCCTGTTCCCCTCCTGGCCTGTGGGGGCGCTGCACCAAGAACCACCGAAGGAAACAACACAAAAAAGACACTGAGCTCCTTTTTCATGAAATGTAGAGAAATGGAGGCGTCAGATTTCAGCGGTTGGAGGATTTCTCTAGCTGACAACTGGAATTAAGAAAATCAGTTTGTTTAATGAAAACATGACAATTTTGAAAATGTTTTTTGTTTTAGGATCAGGTGGTTTTTCAGCTGTTCTGATATTTTTAGCTTCAACAACCAGATGTTACGACTGGCGAGGAGCGGCAGGACGGTGATGACGTGGCTCATTTTTAAGGTGTGATTTTAATTTTCTTTTTTAATGGAAACATTGCAACTGTGAAATTTCAGATGTATTCTGCTGATGTGGAAAAAACTGAACTTTGCACATATTTGCAATGTTTTGTCTTTAGTTAAAGACCACGACCCATTTCTACAGCTAGCGTTAGACTAGCATGTTTCTTTTGGTTGTATTTACCCAGAATGCCTTGCACTGTAGTCCACTTCCTGCTTTTGGAGCGGTCTCCGGTCCGCTTGGCGTTGCATCCAAACCGAACCAGAATTAATTTCAACAGAACTGGGCTGCATCACAGTTGGATTAGCATTCAATATTTAATATTCACTGAACTTCAATCCAGAACCGGCGCAGCAGCAGTTTAAGGTTTTGCCTCCTATCTGCTTCAAGATAAAAAAGAGATGACAGGGGAAAAAACTGTACATAAAAGAGGAAAAATCACGACAGTTTGGCACCATTTCAGATATTTAAAACAAAAAAACTCATCAATAATTATCAATATTGACTGAAACGGTTATAATCTAAGTTTTTCAACCATCATCCACCTCAAAGTTAAACTGGTTTTAAGAACAACAAAGTAAAATTTCTGAAGATCTGTTTGTTATTCTACCAAGTACTGTGGAAACTCTTGAATTTAAAAGGTGAAATAAAATAAAAATGTCTGCTGTGACAGGAAACAGAAGTTTAACAGCGTATTTTAAAGGTTTGGCGGTGGGAGTGTGTCAGCGGTCAGGTGGTCTGGTAATTAGTCTGCTGCATCAGCGCTGAACAAACTGCTGCATGAGGAGCAGCTTGCTCTCATTTACTGTAATTTAATTAAAACAAGGACAGTTGTGCATAATCTCTCTGCAATCCGACTGCATCTTCTAAATCAGATTGTGCAGATTTATTAATGCACGGCTCCCACAGCCTTCAGATCGCTGCAGGGATTTAATAAAGCAGCAGAAAGCAGCCGCAGGAAGCTCAGAGTCACTTCCACTGGTTCACAAATCGATGCCGGATAATAAACCGCTCCAAAGTTACGCCAAATTTTTTTTCCCTTCAGGAAGGTTTCTCTTAAAAGCCAGCGTAGCCACATCAAACAGTTTTCTTCTGAAGTGCAGAGAAGTTGACTGGTGAGCTTTTGGGTTTGGATTTTATTTAGTTAAATGTCTTGCAGCAAGTTGGAACCTCAACTTTATGTGTTTAGTTTACAAACTGTTTGGAAATGTGACAGTTTTTCTCATCAGTCTTGTCGTCTGGGTTTTATACTCAGAATGGAAAATGTTCCTCATTATTGACTTGCTTTATGAGGCCCAAGACCAGTTCTGGTGACACGTTGTAGAAAACTTTTATATGACAAAATAATGCAGTTTGTTTCAGTTACAATTAAACATTGATATGTAAAAATATTCACGTCTGAAACTCTTTGCCATCAGTAAGGGAAAACTGAGTAACTGTAGCAGTTAGAGCGTTTTAGTCCATCAGATTCTGTTTGATTGGGAACCAAAATGGCAACTTTTGTTCCTCCAGCTGCTGTGGTTCTTTCTCTCTCTGCTTTGAGTCAAACCAACCTGTTCCCCTCCTGGCCTGTGGGGGCGCTGCACCAAGAACCACTGAAGGAAACTAAACAAAAACCTCTGAAGACACTGAGAGCAACTTCCTTCTTCACCAAATGTAAACAAAAATGGAGGCGTCAGATTGTAGCAGTTGGAGGGTTTCTCTTTAGTCTTTGGTAAAAGAGTAGGAACCATTTCTGTTGCTAGCGCTAGCATGTTTGTTTTGGTTGAATTTACCCAGAATGCTCTGCATCCACTTCCTGCTTTTGGAGCGGTCTCTGGTCCACTTGGTGTTCACATATGGATTCAAACCGAACCACAGTTCACTTCGACCGAACCGGCTTGTGGGCAGGTCAGAGTTCACACCTCACCAAACCAACTGGAGTTGGATTGAAGCGGACTGAACTGGGATCCTTTAGATTTTAAGGTCTCATGTTGAGTCGTTCAAACCCACTTTTGATTTGTCCATGTTTGGAGCTGCAACTTGCAGTTAAATCTGGAGCTGCTCTTTTTTCTTGGTTGCCGCCGTCTCAGGCCATGGTGATGCTAAAGCTAAACGGTTTTATTTAAATTAATGGTGCATTTATGACCCGATGCCTACTAGTCAATGTTTTAGAGTTCTGGTGTTGGTTTGGTTCTGCTGGAGTTTACCAGCTTCTCTCCAGTAACTTTCTGAGCATCGTGTTTCCAAGGAGTTTCCTGCGCCGCTTCGGCCGAGTCTGACGAGTTCGCTGCTTCATCTGAAGTGCTGTAGCTCCTCAGTCCTCTTCCTCTGCTGGTTGCCATAGGAACGACACCGGGGTCACAGCAAGGCAGCTGTGTGTTACACGGAGGCATCGTAAGGTTTAATCACACAGACAGCCACTCAGACACTCCTGCCAAGCTCCAGATGCATTGTGGGTACCGAGGGGACAATTTGGTTCAAGTGCCGCTGTCTGAGCACAACACACAGTCAGATACACTCACACGAGCCTGACATGATTCACTGCACTGACTTACAACCCAATTTGCAGGGAAGAGTTTTACTGATGACCTGGCAACCCGCCGCTTTTTTATTTACTATCTGGCAACACAACATCACATTTCCTCCGACGCACGTGGGCCGTTCCCCCCTGAGCATCCATCCTTCCAGCTAAAAGCTACGTGTCAGGACAAACACTTGAGCCGAGTCGTTTCCACAGCGACAAGAAGCCCAATTAAAGCCAGCTCGCCAATTTACCCATCATGCTTTGCCCTGGGTTTTGTGTCGTCTCATTACAACAAGCGGTGTGTTGTCGGTACATTCTGCATTATCACAGCAGTGAGTGTGTTCTGGTGCCAGATGGTGATGCATTAACCATGCAGCCATTAGGAGGACATTAGAATAATGAACAAACTGCCTGTCTCCTTCACTGGGAGCAGCAGAGACAGGAAACCTGTAGCAGAAACGCCGCCTGAGAAAAGCTTTAATAATCGCCTCCGGTTAGCAGGAAGAAACCTCATCTCGGAGGAAACGGCTCAGGAACTCTTGGTTCAACATCAGCAGCATTAACTCTCCTGGATTTATAATT